AATCATAAAAGGATATTGCAAGATGTGATCCATATTGTAAGAATTGAGATGGCTAACTAGATTATCCACATTGACAATAAGATCTCTGCGTCCGAGATGGGTTGGAAACCTTAATCCAACCACAAAAAACAAAGCCTTTATCCAAAAATTTAGGGGTCAGCTACATGAACCTTGTTCTTCCATTCAGTTCTGTTAATGACTATCTTCTTTGTTAAGTTAACCATTATCATATCTTTTTTAATTGCTTCCAACAAGTACTCTTAGGCATAACACAAGTCCTGCATTAATCTGGATGGTCTATGTCACACATGAATTCTCCCATTTTTTATCCCAACATTATCCTATCTCGTGTATGTTCACAGATCCATCTGACATTCTCATCTCTGCTACACTCATATTTTTACCGTAGTGTTTCTTACTGCCCAACATTCTGATTCATAAAATATTGTTGGTCTTATAGTTGTCCAGTTATGTATTTTTTCCCCTTCAATTTCATAGGTATGTTTGCTCATATGACTCAATAAGAACTCTATTGTAAGCATTCTAATTTGATTTGGTGAACCACATCATTCTCAATCTCACTAGTGACGGATAAATGATCCTAAATAGTGAAAATGATTATTCCTAGGCCTTTCTTGATTGTTACTATGCACTATAATACATTCTTTTTCACATTTTTACTAAAATCACGTAACGCACATTCTGTTTTGCCCTACTAATTCTCATCTCTGCTACACTCATATTTTGAACGTAGTCTTTCTTATTGCTTAACATTCTGATTCATAAAATATTGTTGTCATGTATTTGTCCAATTAGATTTTTCCCCTTCAATTTCACAGGTATGTACAATCTCATACATCTCTAGTTAGCAACATGTTGATGCATCCAACAATCAGTAATTAACAATGTAAAACTAGCATAACTCAATTAGAATGCAACTTAAAAATATGGACAGATGTTGGTACATAATAGTGAAAAGAAGACAACAAAAACTCCAGAAAACACTAAAAAATCCATATCCATGATGTAGAATAGTCAGCGAATCTAATTGCCTTTTGACTTGTCATATACTCTTGTATCTTCCTAACAATATTATTCATAAAGTTGTCCTAAAGTTGGAAAGAAGCCCATGTCAAGCCACTCATGACACCACTAGATAGCAGCTTTACATATCATATACAGGCATACAGGAAGTCTAAATGGAGGGGTAAAAATCACTGCACTCCATAACTGGTGCAATAAGAAAGATTTGGCAAAATTACATAAATATACATATATATGGGATTAAAGAGTAAAGGTGTGCTTGTAGTAATAGATCTCATGTTAATGTTAATCCCAAGCTTCTTTAATGAGAGTTTGCATACTTAGTTTGTTTTGTCTGATAATTAGGAGAGACTACTTCTACATCTAATCGAAGAATTAGCTTATTCAAAGGAAAATGATCAGGTCGTAGACAAAATTGCTGACAGGCAAGCATATTGTTTTTGCTTTAAATACATTATCATACAACTAAACTACATATAGAACATTTGGAGTCATCAATCATCTCACTTTTTTAACATTTAAAAAAAGTCATTTTTCAAAAACGAACCATATAAAAACCTTTCAGAAGTAACCGAGTCCTCTAATTTGCTAAAATTTGCACTAATGCAAATCCTCCTCCTTTCTTGTTTTCATCTCCTTCTAACACTCTCATAAAAATCACACAAATAAGAATCTTAACATGGTTGTGTGGTGAAATTAGTTAGAGTTGAGAACAGGACCTAATTAGCTCGATAAAGGCGTATCATGCGCATATAAAACACGAGGTTTTGGAAGTCCAAGCAATCGGGTCTCTGTTGAAGGTTTACAGAACTTCACGATATATGTGCTTATACTACATTATTCAAGTTTTGATTTTTTAAGCTTTTTGAGTCGCATTATCGATCATAAACCTAACTAAACATAGCACAAACAGTAAACCCAAGAAAATTACCTGCCCGTGGTACACGAAT